TACTCAAACAAAGAACCCGAAAATTGCTTTCATGTTTTTGACTCCAGGGATGTTACCTTTTGAGCCGCTCTGGGAAAAGTTTTTCCATGTAAGGCTTAGACTCTTGTTTGTAAACTCATTCCATTTTAGTCTTTTTTGTGGCGTTACTAATGTCTTCTCTCTTTAAATTGTTTTTTATTTCTGATCTCATAGCATGCATTCGGTGCCAGAATAGTTGGTTAGAAAGCTTTTTGGCAATGTCTTTCACTATTAAATTCTTACGTGCCTAACTTTCTGTCCTCTTTATGATATTTTTATTTCCTTCTAAACATATGAAAAGATTGAACTAACCACTTCAAATGTTGAGTTAGGCATGAGGTTAGAGATACTGCAGTAACTTATTTAGTAATTGAAAGAGGGGTTCACTTTCCTCAATGAAACAGTAAAAGAAACAAGAAGCACTCCTCAGAGCTTTCTTTGGGATTGAAGCAATCATCAATCATATGTTTCTGAAATGAAGAAAAGGAATGTTGAAACTATGTTTGGTAGCTTATAGTTTTGATGTACAAAACAGGGTGAATTGTCTTTCTATTGTGGAAGCTATGCTTTTCTTTTCTTTTCTTGTACTTATCTTTATTGTCAAGTATTTTTGCACAAAAAGTTTGGTCTTGAAAACTCAAATTATGGTCATTGAGGAGAGAGAGCTTTTGGGACAAGTGCATTTATTGATGGTGGTTGGATTCTTTGATCCTTTTGAAATAGATGGAAGCTTTGGGGATACATGAGGAAGTTCCTTAGTAAAATGCAATTGATTTGACATTAATATGTTTGTGATAGCTAGGTATTTACTTGTCATTTTGATTATTATAGTAATATATTATCATTATCGTTATCTGACATCCACTTGATCATTATTTGGTATCATTATCATTTTCTGAAATCAACTTTATCACATGAGGTTTTTGGGTGCATATTCTGTTTCTAAGACTTAGCAGAGGACTGTTTGATGCATATTTAAAAGAATTAACATGGACTATCAAATGCATATTTAATTTATTAATTTCGTTTTACCATCTTGTGGGGATAATTACTCAATTTGTATTCTATATTGGAGTTCTAGTGTTGCTTTCAAATAATAAGCTCTTATATGCGCTAACTAGCTTTTTGTCAGAAGTAAATTGATCGAGACGAAAAGGTCTTTTGACTTAATAGATTTTTTCCTGTAGGATGCTTAATGCAACCTTTTCGTCTCAAATTTGTCGGAAGTTCTTTCCTTTTGTTTCTATTTCAAATTTTATCCTTCCAGAAAAATATGACGTTTAACATCTTCCTCCAGGGACATGAAGACAGATTCTCCATTTATGTACACGCATCGAAGGATAAACCTTACCATGCAAGTCGTTATTTTGTTGGTCGAGACATACCCAGTAATAAGGTAATAATGTTTCTTCTGTCTTGTTCGCTACAAAATGTCATAACTGGTTTTAATGTGTGGTAAAGCCAGATTTAATTCTTTAACCTTTCCATTAATCCTAAAATACATTAGTTTATTTAATTTTTTCAAAGTCGAAGGCTTTTAAATTAGTTTTGCACAATAAAACTAGATTTTGTGTGACAGTTGCCTTGAAGATGAAAATGTTTGTGCAATTTCTGTTGTGACAATAGCTTTTCACTCCCTCAGTTGTTTAGAATACAAATTTCTGCTGGATATATTCTCATTCGCTTCTCACAAATTCCTTCTCATTAGATGATTAAATATCACTGCTAAATTCCAAGTATCACGTGAATGTCTTTTTCTAAATAAGACAAGGTCTCTATGAACAACTTACTTGCAGGTGGGTTGGGGAAAAATTTCAATGGTTGATGCAGAGAAGAGATTGTTGGCGAATGCTCTCTTAGAGTCTGATAACCAGCACTTTGTATTACTGTCTGATAGGTGATTGATTGTTGATTTCTCTTATATGTACCTCTTGTCATGATGGAATCTAAGTTATTTCTTTACCTTTGCTTTCCCCTGCCAGTTGCATACCACTGCACAACTTTGAGTATGTGTACAATTTCCTGATGTTCACTAATATGAGCTTCATTGATTGGTAAGCCTAACATATTCGATTAGGGGCTGCCCTTTATACTAGTTGCTTAATTTTATAACCTCTTTATTTCCTTGCACTGAAAAAAAAACCCTTCTATTTTTCTTCTAAAAACTCCCCATCTCTCTCTGCTAGTTTTGTAGATCCTGGTCCTCATGGAAATGGGAGGTATTCTGAACATATGAAGCCAGAAGTTGAAAAGGAGGATTTCCGAAAGGGTTCTCAGGTATATTTTTCTGATAAACATGAGTCTAGTTTTTAATAAAATTTTTCTGGACTTTTGCTCCCTTGTCAAGTGTTGATCTTTGGCATGGCCTCTCGGCTATCTATTTAGTATTTGCTCTCTTGCCACACTAAGACTTCTGCTTATTGATACTTTACACCTTATTGGGGATGAACAGTGGCTCGTGCTCCGCTGTTTCCCACTACACTTCCAGCTTTGTAGATGTTTCCCATTAGTAATTAAATAAAATCTGGAGCCACATCTGTGTATAAAGTAGAGGCGTGACCTTCTTTTGCTCCAAAAGATGAGTTTGAAGTCTGCAAATTTGTCATAAAGAAAATTAGGTAGGTAAAGTAAAGCGCCTTAGCCACTCCTTACCTTACCCAACTTAATATACCAAATGTTTAAGGTTGGTACACAACCAAAAACTGAGAAAATTTTCAAATAACTCTATTGAATAGTTGACCTCCTCATAAAAATGAGATTATATAGTATTTATAATATTTGCTAAGTAACCTTTCTTAAATAGGGTTAAACTAAAGTCTCTAAAACTAGTTTTAAATTAAGAAATACTAATATTAATAAAATAGAAAAAAGTAAATGCATAAAACAAGTAATACACTAGTTTTATATTTTAAAGAATTATAATATCTATTTAGAGAATCTAAACTAACCTATTTGCACCAGTTAGTCTTTAAAAATATTAGAACTCTGTAATTTACAAATTGTAAAAGAGTCTTAACAAGAAACAA